CTGAGTTAAACTACTAGGTTATTTCTATATGTATTTCATGTTCATCCAACTAAACTTCAGTTTTCCAAAACAGATTTCCTTATTTAGAAATTTCTCTTGAGGTGACAACACTTATCTAATTGGGTCACAGATAATATTAGGAAAGTTAGATATCTAAATAAACCAAGCCTCTTCCCTAAATGGCACCTTACTGAGTGGTTTCCATTGGCTACTGATTGGCCTGCCATATCTACGAGTTTTCCATCTGCAGATTCAACCAAACACAGACAAAAAATATCTGGGAAAAAAATCACATCTATAATGAATGTATTGACTTCTTTAGTTAGTATTTATATAGCATTTACATTGAAATACATGTGATAAATAATTAAAAGATGATTTAAAGTAAACCAGGGGATATCCGTAGGCCATTTTATGCGGGACCCTTGAGCATCTGCTGACTCTGTTATCTGCAAGGGGTTCTGGAAGCAATTCCCTGTGGGTTCTGGGCCAGGTCCTATATGCTCACAACCCAGTAGTCTATCAGGCAAAGTAACAACTGGTATCCACATCTTGTAGCGCAACAGCCACTGTTACAATGTTTCTTTCTGTTTTTCTACTGTCACTTCCTCTGTCCTGGTCTGAACTCTCCATGCTCTTTTCGCACTAACCCCAGGCACCCTTTAGACTTTCTTTCCTTTTTCAGAAGAGGGTGATCTCAGAGCTGTAAACTCTTTTAGGAAAGCAACTTGTAGCCTGCAACAACTACTGGGCACATTCTGACTGGTTCCTCACTGTCTGTTCTGTCTTGCAGATACTAATGACTAAGTGCTAATGGCATTCTGGTAGAAAGCTAAAACTAAATAAAGCAAATATTCCAAGGCTTTGTTTTCTACATGCTACAGGGGTCATAGGTGGTGAGTGTCTGGAAATGGTCCTTGAATTTTTCCCATTATACATTTTTTTCTTTTCTTTTCTTTTTTTTTTAACAATTTATTTATTTGGAAGGCCAGAATAAGAGAGTGACTGATCTTTCATCTGCTGGTTCACTTCCCAAATGGCCACACCAGTCCAGGTTGGGCCAGGAGAAAGCCAGGAACTTGGAATTCCATCCAGGTCTCTCATGTGGGTGGCAGGAGCCCAAGTACTTGGGCCATCTTCTGCTGCTTTCCCAGGCACATTAGCCAACTGCTCATTTCTGACAGTAGAGCAGCTTTTACCTCCAGTTACAAGATATACCAATGGAGGATGCTAGTTCTGTGTGATCCTGTTCAGACACACTTTTTTCCTACCGGAGGACAGTAGGTGTAGGTTCTTATCCATAACTGAGCCAGGTGGTTGGCAGATAGCAAGGAAGTCTGTTACTTTATACTGGTTGATTGACAGCTATACTAATTGTTTGCCAATACACAAATGATACCATTTGGGTCTGGGACTTTCCCTCCTAGGCTGACATCTGGATGCTAATATAGCTTCTGGGGCAATAAACACTAATGCTTTCAAACTGCCATTAGAGACACATCTCACTGTGATGCCACTCCCTGTGAGAATTCACTTTGAAAATGCATTAGCTGCTGGAGGCTCTGCTAGAGAGAAAGGCCCTTTACCTCATGGTTGACAGCTTGAGGGCATCCAGAAACCCAGCATCACTTTGAAGAGGTGTGTGTTCCTAGACCTTGGAAAATTTCTTCTGTGGATGCAGTGTTTGGTTAATTACTAGCACTCAGGCTCAAGTAATTTTCTTTTACCCATTTCTGTCTATCTTTTCATACACTTCTTTTGCTTATCTGCTTTAGTGTGCATTACAAGAAACTGATTATTTCAGGAGCATCTTTGCCTTACTTGGCATGTCATTCAATTAAAGGGTAAAAGAATCTGTCCATCTTAGAAAAATTATAATCCTTGAGGTTGAAATTTGAGTTAACAGGTTCATTAAACTGGTGTGATGTAGTATTGTGTAAAGTTTATTTTTTTAACCAGAAACTGGACTTGAAATTTAAAATCTATTTAACAGACTAAGTTAAAAAACCTCAAAATAGGTCAGCATTATTCTTTGATAATATCTATATTTATTTCCAATTATATTACTTTTGTTTCAGATGAGCTATAACTCATGTAAGAGTTCAGTAAAAAAAATGTGTAGGGCTGCCACTATGCTACAGTGGGAAAGCCCTGCCTGCGGCACCAGCATCCTATGGGCACCGGTTAGAGTCCTGGCTGCTCCACTTCTGGTCCAGCTCCCTGCTGACGTGCCTGGGAAAGCAGCGGAGGACAGCCCAAGTACTTGAGACCCTGCACCCAGGTGGGAAACCTGGAAGAAGCTCTTGGCTCCTAGCTTCAGGCTGACCCAGCTCCTACTGTCTCTGTCAACCTTCCCACCCTCCCTAGTAACTCTGCCTTTCAAATAAAATAACTAAATTTTTACCCCCCCCCCCCAAAAAAAAGTGCCTCAGGTTCCTCAGGGTTAGAAATTGGCACAAAGTTTCTTGGAGACTATTAAAAACAATAGTAGTCTATTCTTACTAATTACTTTCAAAACTAGCTCAGTGAGTTTTTAAAATAAATCTTACTGGAAATGTAGAGAAAAATCAACTAGCCTATGATGCAATAAATTTCTTTAATTTGCAGTAAGTCACTATACACCAATAAGAAAGATTTTTTTTTAGTTGTAGAAATGGTCAAGGAATATAAAGAGGTAGTTTGAAGGGGAAAAAATTACAATTTGGTTAACCTAAATGAAAACATTAAACTTTACCCTTGATAGAAGAAATGAAAATTAAAACAAAGAGAATTTTTATCTATTATTTGGCAACAACTAGGAAGTTTGATGATATTTAGTGTTGGCAAGGGTGTGGGGAATACACAATAATGGGAGTATAGGTATGAAGATATAAATGCATACATCCACTGACCTTGGAGATTCCACCACTAGGCATCTAACCTATGGATATAATTATAAAAATATTGGCAAAATATATATACAAGATTACTGACTACTACAACCACTTAAGAACCCTATTTGTGTTTAAAAAAAAACCCATACAATCAAATTATATAATATACCTATGTATGCCACAAGCATACATATACACAAATACAGAAATGTAATTGCATTGGAAATGATCAGGAAGAAAATATACCACTACTGTGGTTACTTCTGGAGAGAAAGGGGGAGCTGGGGAAGAAAAAGGGAATTAAGGGGCCGGCGTTGCGGCTCACTAGGCTAATCTCCTCCGCCTTGCGGCGCCAGCACACCGGGTTCTAGTCCCGGTCGGGGCACTGGATTCTGTCCCGGTTGCCCCTCTTCCAGGCCAGCTCTCTGCTGTGGTCAGGGAGTGCAGTGGAGGATGGCCCAAGTGCTTGGGCCCTGCACCCCATGGGAGACCAGGATAAGCACCTGGCTCCTGCCATCGGATCAGCGTGGTGCGCTGGCCACAGCGCACTGGCTGCAGTGGCCATTGGAAGGTGAACCAACGGCAAAGGAAGACCTTTCTCTCTGTCTCTCTCTCTCACTGTCCACTCTGCCTGTCAAAAAATAAATAAATTAATTAATTTAAAAAAAGGGAATTAAGGAGAACCTGATGTTTTCCCTGTGTAATTTGAATTTTTTATAATGAGAATGAGAATTTTTTATAATGAGAATATATCCTTGTGCTTTTTGTGTGGAAAAAGGAACTCAGGACAAACTGCTAAAAAAAAAAAAAATAAAAGAGGAGGTCTGATTTATTGTTAGTTTAGCAAAATGAATAGAACAATCCTATGCACTTTTCCATATAAAAACCAATACTCTATTTCAACTACTGTACATTTCTTTATTTAAAGTGCCAGTACTATATCAAAATCACACTATTAGGTCTGGCAAAATTCTGTTATTAGATGCTAAATGTTAAGCAGATTGTGCGGTCTATATGAAATACAGAGAGCCTATGTGAAAACAGAGGCACACTCCTAACAGAGAAGGCTGTCTGAGCACCAAGCACTGGCAGAAACCACTAAAACTGTGTAATGATGCCTAACCAGTAACTTCTTTGTTGACACTTCCCATCCATATGAATCTATGCTCATCCTGGCTCAAAGAACCAAAGACAGGTTTGGTTTCCATTTCCAAGTTGCGGAATTCATCAAATTACTTACAGTAACTTTCCTTTTAAAATTTTTATTGACCTTTAATTTCTGTAGAGAAAAGTACTATGTATAGAACAAGGTAAGCTATACACTTTTAAAAGTTTCTACTATGGCAAGGGAACTTTTAAAAGACTTTTTGTTCAAAATAAAATCTTCAAGGAAAAGATATCTGTAATGAAAGGGATTTGATAGGAGAATACTATTTATTTGGAAATCGTTTATTAATTATTTTAAAATACTTTGAAAAACCTTTTATCTGAGTAAAAGAAATAGCTACAGGTATAAAGGTGATTATCATCTATAAAACAGCAATTTTTTTGAGGAGGATACTATAGAAAGGGATAAACTCCCGTCACTAATTGCTATTATTTCTTTATTTCTGTAGGCTAGCCTCAGAACACCATGAAATACAATGATAAGGAAGAAAGTCATTATGAAATTATACAAGGCAGGAATTTCCTCAATTTTTAACGAAGAAGCTACTTAAAGAGCTAAAACTATAAACATTAACAAAACTCTACAATGGAAAATAAGTTTCCCCTTCACTATTAATTATATTGCCAAGACAGTGAATTCTATACACTTCTTACTTATCTTTAATTCAGTATACGACCAGAAAGTATAATTTTAAATTAACGAGTTACTGCCTTTCCCTCCCCTAAATCTTGGATAATATGAAAGGATAGAATCCTACGAAGTTAAAAACATAAAACAAATAGGGCATACTTTCTTGGAGCTTACCCATTTCAATGTAACTTCTAAACTACTGGAACAAAAGCCCCAATTCCAAGCATTAATTGTTCCTCGGAATCAGCAAAGCAACATCTAATCATAGAATAAAAACAATTAAGCTAAAAGAGTCCATAAAAATTGGTCCAACTCATTAAACTACTCACAGACAGCATGGCTGTAATTTTTCCGGTTCGTCTAGATGAAAAATGTTTTGCTTCTTGCCCATATTCTTTTTTGATCCATACACTTCTTTCTTTGCTGATTCCCACTTGTTTCTCCATAAGAACTACAGTACAAAATGGCCACTGAGTTGGAGGGCGTGCCTGTGCCATTACTAAGCATTTTCCTATCAGAGGCAGTCTATGAAAAAAAAAACCTGGACATTATTTCTTCAGCTAGCGCTACTACTACCCAGCAGCTGCAAAAGAAGGTAGTAGAGAAAGTGGGGTTTTAAAACTGTCTTCAAAGTTTATTATTTACTATTAGTGTACTTTTTTTTTTTTTTTTACAAATTAGCAGCAGGCAAGACATATATTCATCAATTTTCCTGTCTATAGGCTTATGCTATTTTCCACTGACATGCACCTTACTCAAATAATCTGAGGTAGTATAAACAGCAAAAGACTTTAAAAGCAGTAGTTTTAAGGTTTCTGTATACAATAGTACAAATGTACTTACACACAATAGCACCTAAGTCTAAAATAAAAATAAAAATAAAACACACCCATCAAAAGAAAGACCAACAGATGCAAAGGGAATGAACTACAATTTTCTTTACTTCAACTGACTACAAAGTAGTGAGCCATGTTGTACTAGTTTTAACCAAGCAGAAAGAAAATATCAACGGTGGATTGAGCATTTCCTGGTTCTAACGCTACCTTTGATATTCTCTGAAATCTGGTTATTTAACTGGTTATTAATCTGGTCAGTCTGGGGCCAGCACTTGGCATAGTAGGCTAAGCCTCTGCCTGTGGCACCAGTATCCCATATGGGTGCCAGTTCACATCTGGCTGCTCCTCTTCCTATCTAGCTTTCTGCTTATGGTCTGGGAAAGCAGGGAAAGATAGCCCAAGTGCTCGGTACTCTGCACCTGCTTGGGACGCTGGAAGAAGCTCCTGGCTCCTGGCTTGGATCAGCTCCAGCTGTTGTGCCCATTTGGGGAGTAGATGCAAGACCTTTCTGTCTCTCCCTCTTTCTGTCTGTAACTCTACCTCTCAAATAAATAAATAAAATCTTAAAAAAATTTTTTGGTCAGTCAACTAGGTACTGACAAGATACAGAGCAGAAGCAAGGTTATAAAGTAAAACCATCATTTACAATTGCTTTTAAAAAAAAAGGCAAGTTATTAAACATATTTGATAAAATACTAGATGTGAGAAGAATATGCACTAAATGTTAAAATTAGGTTTGCATATTATGAGCTAATATTAAACTTCATTATCTTTTCTCTTTATTCCAATTTAAAGAGAGATATACAGCAAGAGAGACGACAGGACTTTTGGTTCTATGAAAAGATGAAAAGGCATACCTCTTCACTCAACATGATTATTTCCTTTTGTTAAAAAGAGAGTATCTGTAAGCAAAATTGAAAAAATCATAGAGCAAGATACATAACAAAGTAGAAAAAAACATATGTATTTTAAGATATAATTTATCTGAAAGCATTACAGAGAGAAAGGGAGACATAGAAATCTTCAATCCACTGTTTAACTCCTGAAATGACTATAATAGCCAGGACTGGGCCAGGTCAAAACTAGGAGCTAGGAACTCCACCTGGTCTCCCACATGGGCAGTAGGGGCCCAAGTACTTGGGCCATCTTCTGCTGCTTTCCCAGGCACATTAGCAAGGAGCCGGATCATAAGTGCAGCAGCAGACATGAGCCAGTGCTCACATGGGATCCTGCTGTTGTAGGCAGTGGCTTACAGAAAATACATATATATATATATTTTTTTTTTTTTTGACAGAGTGGACAGTGAGAGAGAGAGACAGAGAGAAAGGTCTTCCTTTGCCGTTGGTTCACCCTCCAATGGCCGCCGCGGCTGGCGCGCTGCGGCTGGCGCACCGCGCTGATCCGAAGCCAGAAGCCAGGTGTTTCTCCTGGTCTTCCGTGCGGGTGCAGGGCCCAAGTACTTGGGCCATCCTCCACTGCACTTCCGGGCCACAGCAGAGAGCTGGCCTGGAAGAGGGGCAACCGGGACAGAATCCGGTGCCCCGACCGGGACTAGAACCCGGTATGCCGGCGCCGCTAGGTGGAGGATTAGCCTAGTGAGCCGCAGTGCCGGCGGAAAATATATTTTTTAATAAAATTCTTAAGAAGACATGATATTTAAGACTGTGGATTCATTAATGAATTCAAAATGTCAACCATAAGATATAGGTTGCTATATTCTGCCAGCTATAGAGATATCAACACAGATTTTAAAATGTTATTTTTTGAGATTTATTTATTTGAAATGCAGAGCAATAGAGAGAAAGAGAGAGAGAGAGAAATTTCCATCTACTAGTTCACTCCCCAAACACCTAGAACAGCCAGGACTAGGCCAAGCTGAAGCCAGGATCCAGGAATTCCATCCTGGTCTCCCCAGGAATGTCAGGGGCCTAAGCACTTAGGCTATCATTGGCTGCCTTCCCAGGCACAGTAGCAGGAAGATGGATCAGAAGCAGAGTAGCTGGGACTGGAACTAGCACTCCAATATAAGATGCTGACATTGCAATATATATTATTGTCAATAAAGTCTAGAGGACTTTTTAATTTAAGAGACAGAAAGAGACAGGCAGACAGACCTATAATCTGCTGGCTCACTTGCCAAATGCCCACAATGGCTGGGAATAGTTAGGCTGAAGACAGAAGCTAGAAATGTAATCTAGTTCTCCCAGGTAGAAGGCAGGGACCAAAACACTTGAGCAATTACCTGCTACCTGCCAGGGTCTACACTGGCAGGAAGAGGGAACCAAGAGAAGTAACTGGAGCCAGAGTTGGGTATTGAAGTCAGGTATTCTAATATGGGACGTGGACATTGTAACTATCATCCTGATAGACCAAATGCCTGTAAGAGGACATTTTGATTTGCTAAGGATTAATAACAACAAGATGTCTCAATGGATACTATAAGCAGAACTCAAAAAATCCACAGGCAATGAAACAGAACATAGTCAAACACTGTGCCCATGTGTGGAGGACACTGAGCTTTGGGCATTTTGTCCTAAATTCTTAAGGCATGATTTGCTTCTAAGACCTCATGGAACACCTGGTATAAAACCAAGGAAAACTACAACTGAGTTAAAGTCTCTAAGATAAAGAGATGCTGTAAATGAGTAGATCCTCTCCCTTTATTTCCTAATTAATGGAAATCTCTAAAGACCTATTCTCATTTACTCAATCTATAAGATAGTTTCAGACCCCCTGGGATGCATTTAAGAAAAATTTCACATTAAAGGATGATCTGCTATACAAGATGATCTTGTTACATCTGGGATATATCTGAAGATATATTTTATGGAAAAATAAGATGATATAATATCCTCAACTCTTGGGCCGGTGCCGCGGCTCACTAGGCTAATCCTCCGCCTGCGGCGCTGGCACACCGGGTTCTAGTCCCAGTCAGGGTGCCGGATTCTGTCCTGCTTGCTCCTCTTCCAGTCCAGCTCTCTGCTGTGGCCCAGGAAGGCAGTGGAGGATGACCCAAGTGCTTGGGCCCTGCACCCGCATTGGAGACCAGGAGGAAGCACCTGGCTCCTAGCTTCGGATCATGGCCATTTTGGGGGTGAACCAACGGAAAACGAATACCTTTCTCTCTGTCTCTCTCTCTCATTGTCTAACTCCGCCTGTCAAAAAAAAAAAAAAAATCTTCAACTCTTATTCTGGACAGCAAGCTCCATTACTAAAATAGTAAACACCATCCACATATACATTAAAAGACAAAAACAACTTCCTTCCATTAGTCAAATCAATAATGCAGGTAGGAAGAAATCTACAAATAACACTCAGGGAAAAAATACATAAATATTCTTTTAGAGATCTATAACATTTTAAAATGCAAAGAAGATTCTCTAAAGCAAGAGAGGGATTTTTAAAATACTCTTTTAAATATGGGAAGTTGGAGTCAGCATTTTGGTGAAATGGGTTAAGTCACTGCCTGCAAAGCTGGCATCCTGTGAGTGTTGGCTTGAGTTCTGGCTGCTCCATTTCCGATCTAGCTCCTTGTTAATGTGCCTGGAAAAGCAGCAGATGGCCCAAGTGTTTGGGCCCCTTCCAATCATGTGGGAGACCCAGATGGAGTTCTAGGTTTCTAGTTTCAGCCTAGCCCATTTGAGAGTGAATTACCAGACTGAAAAATCTCTCTGTCTCTCTCGCCATCCCTCTCTGTAACTCTGCCTTTCAAATAAATAAATAAAACTTTTGGAAAAAAAATTTGGGAAGTTTTGTGGGAGTCATTTCTCTTCATTTACTTATCTTAGTGCTAGGGGGAAAAAAGCTGAAGCTGAACATGCTGCCAAAAAACGGGTTAGCATTTCTTTTCTTTTCTTTTTTTTTTAAGAGTTCTTTTTTATTTATTTGAAAGGCAGAATTACAGAGAGAGGTAGAGATAGTGAGAGAGGTCTTCCATCCTCTGGTTACTCCCCAAATAGCTACAATTACTGAGGCTGGGCCAGGCCAAAGCCAGGAGCCAGGAGCTTCTTTTTGGTCTCCCACGTGGGTACAGGGGCCTAAGCAGTTGGATCATCTGCTGCTGCTTTCCCAGATGCATTAGCAGGGAGCTGGATTGGAAGTGGAGCAGCCAGGACTTGAGTTGGCGACCATAAGGGATGCTGGTGCTGCAGGCCAGGGTTTTAACTCGCTAAGCCACAGCATTGGCCCCAAAGGGTTAGCATTTCATAACTATCTTATTTATTTATTTATTTTTTTTTTTTTTTTGACAGGCAGAGTGGACAGTGAGAGAGAGACACAGAGAGAAAGGTCTTCCTTTGCCGTTGGTTCACCCTCCAATGGCTGCTGTGGCCGGCGCGCTGCCGCCGGCGCGCTGCGGCCTGCACACCGCGCTGATCCGATGGCAGGAGCCAGGTACTTATCCTGGTCTCCCATGGGGTGCAGGGCCCAAGTACTTGGGCCATCCTCCACTGCACTCCCTGGCCACAGCAGAGAGCTGGCCTGGAAGAGGGGCAACCAAGACAGAATCCGGCGCCCCGACTGGGACTAGAACCTGGTGTGCCCGCGCCGCAAGACGGAGGATTAGCCTAGTGAGCCGCGGCGCTGGCCTCATAACTATCTTTTTCAGCCAGAAACAAAGGGGAAGATAGAGAATGAATTCAGAGAAACACCAAAACCCTTTGGCAATAAAGAGTTCAACTACAGCTAATAAGGGTATCAAAAGGTATCCTGAGGACAACATTGCCCCCATAAGCAGGAAGTTACAAAGAAATAGTTTAGATGCACTGCAAATAATGTA